GACCTGCAACATGCAGAGCTCTGGTCCCAGCTGGCAACTGTCTCACTGATGCAGTGGCCCCCCTGTAGTCATTGCAGTATAACTGTCCCCGGCACTCGTTGCCCCTCCCCCCCCCCATGGTCATTACATAGCATAACTGTCCCTCCTATCAGAACTCTCCATTCCATGTCCCTTTCTCCTGAGCTTGCTTTAAGTCATGTGAGGAAGGTGCATAACGAATCTGGTAATCTTAGCTCTCTAGGAAGAGTTCTTGAACAAATGAACTCACAGATGGACAGATACACAGATGCATATTTCTAAAATATATAGCAAGTGTAAGCTAAGTTATTAATTGTATAGAACTTAGTCAGTGGCTCAGGTCATTCTTACCTGGAGCTATGATGAAATTAATCATACTGCATGGTAATATTTTTACAGTAACAAAGAGTTAGTGACATGAAGAAGACTGTGCATGTGTCAAGAGTTTTCACTGATAAATTACTTTGCTTCTAGTTGTCACTGCTCTCAATAGCTGTGTGGCTGCATGCTAGCAAATGAAGGACGAAATTCACCAATCTGTGCTGTCTTCTATGCACTGCTCCAGTTTTACAAAACAAGGAAGGGAAAAAAGGGAAAAAATCTTTAAAATTGATGTTATGTATCCTCAGTTCACAAGAGCTATCACACGGTAGCATTCTCTTAGGACTCTAGGTTATCATTCATATATGACATATTTATATTTAAACACATGTAATTAGGGATGCAAAATTCCGTTTAGTCAGTTTACCAGTTAAATGTTATTTTTAACTGGCTAACCACTTAAACAGGGAAGAGGGGAACGAGGGGCTCCAGCTCGCCCATGGCATGGTGTGGTGGGCCCAGCCCCAACCCATGGTAAAGAGGGCTGATCTTGCCAGGCCGTGCTACTGGCTAACTATACCAGTAAGCATTACCCAGTAAGGATGATTCTTACAAGTTAACCATTCACATCCCTACATGTAGTATACCGTTCATCAATGGTAAGAGACCGGAGACCAGTTTTCATGTCATAAATTGGACTATCCTAGAGCCTTCAGAACCTCCTAGTCTGAGAACACCTATCAGTTAGTTAGTTGCGATGGTTCAGAAGGTCAGTGACACCAATCCCATCTTGCCTGCAAAGTTAGAAGCAAGGTTTTTGCAATAGGCAATGCTGGACTTTGGTACTGGGAGAAGGCATGTTGAATTGGTTAGATTGTTCACCATCCACAACAGTTTTTCTGGATGTGACAATATAAAGACCATGATGGTGGAGAAGAAAAATGCACTGTCCCCACCGCTTATCACAAAGGGTCATTTTGTTCTGCTGTGGCTCAGATTTAGAGCCAATTTTCCTTCAAGTCTCCTTACCGCCTGCTTCATCTGTCAAAGTTCATCATTTAACCATGGTGACTTGTGTGGACAGTATGGATGGAACAGATGACTGAGGGGCATTGCATCAATCTTTTAGGACACCAGATGGTTGTAGCGTCCCACGAGTGTCTCCATGAACTGGTCTAGTTGCTAGATGGCATGTTCTTTCAGGATGGGCCAGTAACCCACTGAGGCCCTGGCGGGTGGGCAAGCAAGAAGGCCTGGACCTCAATTTGAAGCAATTGATGATTGGACCTTGATAGGGACATGTTTACTCTACCCTCCATGTCAATATCCAAGTGGGTGATTAGGGTTGTGCTCTAGTTCTGCGTTCTGGCATGCCAGGCGGCTGGTATACTCACCAGTAGCTTTTGCACAGTCTGCATGATGGACAGGTGCAAGCATAAAGGCTGCTGAGGCTTACAAAGCAGCTGGTTGGCATGCCAGGACCAACACATCCGTGAGACGAAGATGAGCAAGTCAGCTGCAGCCCACAGCAGACTGCAGAGTCGTGCCCCGACTGCCTGCATTAGAGTTCAAACAGTCAGTCACAGTCACAGTCATGCTGCTTCTCTGGTTATAGCCCAGCAGTGGCAAGAGTGCTACTTGGATATTGTCTTTCCTTAACCAAACAAAAACATGTCAGCAAAATAAATGGACAGCTGCTTTCGTGCACAATAGATTTTTTTCTACTCTTGCCTAATCTGTATGTGATAGTAAGTCTTCATTTCTGAATATAGTACAGGAGCTGAATGTGGCCCCACGTGTGTTACTCCTCTAGAGCTGTCGCTGTGTTAAGGAAATAAGCATTCTTTTTCATCTGCAGCCCTTTGGCTGCCAAAGACAATAGTTTCTCCATCAGTATGGGAAATGGGTGTTGTATTCTTGTGATTTTATGGAAGTTATTGCTTCCATTTGCCTTTCTCTGCTATGAAAACAGTGACTGCCATTTGTCATTGACTAGTGCAACACAGTGTGCAAAATTACATAATTCAGTGCAACATCCCAGAAGAAATGTGCCATAACTGCATATGGATTTGCAATAATTTAGTGCTGCTCAAAGAACAGAGGGCCAGATTCTCTGCTGTCAGAATTTTTAACCTCAATGGAATTGTGCCAAGAGTGAATATGACTTTAAGGTTTGGAATACACAACAGCACCATCCCGCTTTGCCCTCTAGAATATCATTTAAGCATCAGATACATCTGGAATACTGAATCAAAGTACAATGGAATATGATTCTTAAGTAAATAAGTGGCAAGTACTTACACAAATATCCTGTACTCCAGTGGTAGAATGGTTAGCCTCAGTTGTTCTTTTTGTTAGCTGCTGCCCTAATACATTTATTGAATATGAAATGGAACAATTTCGTATCACAGATCAGAATATGAAATAAGGCAATTCTGATTTCTAATCATCTCTACAAATATTCTCATGGGTTAATGTGCCAACAATTTTGTTACTACACTGTTGAACATCTCAGTAGCTTTATAATAATACAGGTTAGACCTCCTTGGTTCAGCACCCTGGGGACCCAAGGGCTCCCAAATCAGGGAGATTGCTCCCAAATCAGGGAGGTCAATGCTCCCCTGCTGGCAGCCCCACTCCCAGGCTCCTCTCCCTGGAGTTCCCAAGGCCGGGGCTTCCACCCTGCTGCCCACATGCTGCCACCAAAATTCCCCAGGATCCTGTCTAGGAATGCCTGGCCATTGCTGGCCCTGCTGCCACTGTGGGTTCTCTGGGCTCCTTGGCCAAGTCTTCCCCACCAGTGCTGGGCCCCACTTTTGACAGAAGTTCCCTTATTGGGGCAATTCTGCCTCCTGAGCCCCCTACTAGATATTCCTCAAATTCCTGCCTGCCCCTGCTGCTGCTGGGGGTTTCCCAGTCTGGGGCCACTCAGCTGCCACCAGCCCCACTGCCAGAGCAAGTCCTGCTCCCACTGGGGGTTCTCTAGAATTCCCAGGTCTGGGAGTGCCCAGTTGCTGCCTGGCCTCACTGCCACTGGGGATTCACTCACTGGGGTAGGGGGTCACTGTTCACCACCTGGCCCCACTGATTCCAGGGGTTCCTGGCAGGGGTGGGGCTCTCCACCCTCTAGTCCCGCTGACGCCAGGGATTCCTTAGCCTGGCTGGGGCTCCACTGCTTGGCCCAGCCACTTCTGCATTCTCACGGCTGGCTCTCACTCCTGGCTTCCCAAATTTCCTTGGTCTAGCAACATCTGTGACCCTGCCACACCTGAGAATCCTGGGTTTGGGAGGCTGATCCTACACATAATAAGCATGTGCACAATAATTCACATCTAAGGTTCTCAAAGTGATTTACAAGTATTAATAACTTCAGATTCATACTACACAACCTCAGGATATTTCCAAGGGAAGAAGCTGAATTATGCCCCAATTGAGCAAAACATTTATACATGTGTTTAAATCCCATTTAAATTATGCAGGTGTTTAATTTCTTTGCTGAATTCATACCACAATCTCCATTCTACAGATAAGTAAATAGAGGCAGAATGCAGATGAATCACTCAAGGTCACACAGTACTTCTTTGAAGATCTAAGTATAAGATTTGGCTCCCTGGATGTCCAGTCTGGCATTGTAACCTCAAGAGCATCCTTCTCTTTATCCTGGGAGCTGACAAATCTGCAACTAAATGTTAGGGTGAAGCGTGGTTAGCTTCAGGTGTAGTAGGGTTGTTATTTCCCAACAAAATAGTTTTCAAAAAGTTTACGGCAGAATACTATATTTGAGGTGCAAAATATATCCCATAAAAACATTTATGGGGTTGAGAATGCCCACAGAGATCAGTAAAAGACAAGGATTCCCATTGGCTTCAATGAATCAAGTCTTAAAACATTCATAATATTTTATCAAGAGGGTATTTTTCAGGATGATTGCAATAGAAATCTGAATATCTTTCTGAATTTAAATAAAAAAAGATTTACAAATTAATGATCGTTGCATACTGAAGTAAACTATGAAAATACATTGAGTTTTAAGCCAGTATAAGAATAAATAATAACAAAAAAGAAAAAAACAAACAAAATGAGAAAAAATGTAACGAAAATGTTTCTTATTTATTCAGACTAACGCGGCTACCCCTCTGATACTTGTCACCATGCAAGGCATGGTGTTTATTATGCACATTGTGCATAAATGAGTGTGATGTAATTTCCTGCCCCATCCCCATCCATGGTCTGACAATTTTATTAAGGCCCTGCTAGGGGGAAACACTTTTTAAAGTAGCAGAAGTAAAATATGCAGCTCATGTAGTTAAAGCCATGATAAACCAGAGCTGTCATATATTGATAACTGATGTCTGATAGCTTAATTTTATCATATTGCTGTAGATCAAGGGCAGAGTGAGTGATATTATTAATAAAGCCCTAATACTGAGTGAACATAGCACTACTAATTTTATAGCTGTAAAGTTTTTAACTAATGCATAGTGCAATAAAAATGTCATGAAGATTAATGCCTGGTGGAATTATCTAACTCTAGATAATAAATTATCTTCCAGAGATATATTCAAGATAGAATCAGATTGGTACTCTCCAGGTGAGAAATTTTTCTAGGTTTATTGTCAGCAACATAATGTCTTTCCTTTTTTCTTGTATCTTTAATGCAGATATGACATCAAAGATGATTACACCTTGCGCATTAAAAAGGCCATGAGCACAGATGAGGGAACCTATACATGCATTGCTGAGAATCGAGTTGGAAAAGTGGAAGCATCTGCTACTCTCACAGTTCGAGGTGAGTGCTAGAGTATTTGAGAGCATGTCATGTTTTCTGACATAGTGGCCCCCATCTTCCCCTGGAGTCAATTGGCATAGATCAGTCACAATTGGTGGAGCTATATTGAATTTCACCAACGGTGAAATCCTGGCCCTGTTGATGTCGAGTAAAATAACTATAATTGGGCAAAGATTTCACCCCAGCTGAGGATCTAACCCACTATTTGTAACTGAAAGAACAAACATGTATCTAAGTGTGCATGTATGTATCAATGTATGTGTCTAGTTTAGTTTATATTGTCTTTTCTCCCTGGCTACGTCTAGACTGGCATGATTTTCCACAAATGCTTTTAACGGAAAAGTTTTCCGTTAAAAGCATTTGCGGAAAAGAGCGTCTAGATTGGCACGGTCGCTTTTCCGCAAAAGCACTTTTTGTGGAAAAGCGTCCGTGCCAATCTAGACGCGCTTTTGTGCAAAAAAGCACCGATCGCCATTTTCGCGATCGGGGCTTTTTTGCGAAAAACAAATCTGAGCTGTCTACACTGGCCCTTTTGCACAAAAGCTTTGCGCAAAAGGACTTTTGCCTGAACGGGAGCATCACAGTATTCCCGCAAGAAGCACTAATTTCAGACAGTAGGAAGTCAGTGTTCTTGTGGAAATTCACGTGGCCAGTGTAGACAGCTGGCAAGTTTTTCTGCAAAAGCAGCTGCTTTTGTGGAAAAACTTGCCAGTCTAGACGCAGCCCCTGTGTAGACTATTTTTCCATGTTTCTTTCTGTAATAAAATTATGCTTGTCAGTGAATATTTTTTTTAATGTCAAACAATACATAATAGAACCTTTTTGCCATTTTCATGTGAAAGAGTAGCACCATCCCAAGAAATAAGAGACTTAGTTAAGTATAATACATTAAGGCATTACATATTCCTCTGGAAATATCTTTGGACACTGGTACTCACCTATTTTGTATATAGTGTAGTTTGATGTAGTGAGGCACTTTAAAAACCCAGCAGCATAATGAGTTTTCAAAAAATACTTGCCCCAGTACATGTGGAGATGTTGAATATTATAGAGAAAGGAAAAATATGAACAAAATCCATAAGAGTAAATATAATATGACATTTAAAATACTTTATTTTCTCCAAAAAATAAACTGCAATTTTGATATAATGGGTATCACACAGACACCATTTCACAGTTTATTGGTGCATGATGAAGGTTTTCAGTAGAGCTGTGAAAGGTTAATAAAAACATTTTTTGGTTTTATCATCTCTTTTTTTTCTTTTCCCCCCATACACATTAAATCAAATGTTCAAAATCTCTATGGATTGCTTTATTAGAACAAGGGTCAACTGACCTAAGAGGCTGACTTCCATTTCCATCCATTTAATGCATGGACACAGTTCATTTTGATTTGCTGAATTCAAAGAAAAAAACACTCACCCAGTGTCTTTTCGGGGGAAGAGGGATATTAATACGTAACAAAGAAAAGAGAGTATTGTGATAATCCATCTGATAAAACATTGTTATAATATTCACTTTAGATAGTAACTGATAATGTGGCTTTCCTATTGCAAGCTGAAAAATGGCTTTACTTGCTATTTGTTTGTGATGAGGATTGTTTTTCCATTTTGCAATTTAAGAAAAATAGGCACAAGAATTAACTCTCAAAAACTGTACACTTCCTTTGTCACAATACCCAATAAATCTGGTCATTAGTTTAGTGGCCTTAATTTCTCCGAGATTTGTGTCCACTGTATACATTATCAGGTCAAACCTTTCTTTTTTACTAGCCTAGCCTTGTGACATGAGCAATGACTAGAACAGAGCAAAAATCCTTTGAACTCACTGGAGCTTGAACTTGACCAAATTAAGGTGGAAAAAGGAAATATATAATTTAATTGATTTTCCTACACTCGAGAAGATTTCTTATTATCTTTTTTCTTGGCTTTATAATCTACAGGCCATAGGCAAAGTGTTTATTCAATACAAAAGAATCCACTGTATTACAAGCATATTAAACATTCAGGATGTGATAGAAAATGAGAAAAGCCAAGAAATTCAATGCTGAATGCTCAGCACTCCCCTTCTGGAAACAAAGGATCCCTGGGTAATCCCTTTTGACTTCAAAGGGATCAGGAGTTGTTTCTGTTTTAATTAATGAAGGTCTTAACCCTGAATTATCTAACTTATTTTTAGGGTGTGTCATTAGTCTACTTAATATAAGGTTATTATACAAAATTACCTGATTTCATCATATTCTATTTTTGTCCTATGAAAAGGGAGGAAACGACTGATACTCATCACTGGAATTCATTGTTTGGGGTGCTTCTAGCCCTGTGTAACCTGCATGTTCATTGAAAACCTAGTGCTGCTGTTACATGTCCACACACACACACACACACACACACACAGAGCCTGGCAATCGCAGCTTAATCCTCAGCTCTCACCAATGGCACCATTTGAAGTCATTAGCCACAGAATTTGAATTCCCTGATTGAAACCTCATACCTGTAATTGGGAATTTGCACTTTTTTTCTTTTCCAGTCCATGCAAGGGGAGGATATTTCATATTACTGAAAGCCATAAAGCCTAACAAAGAGAGCATGTGGACGTTGCTATGCACTGTGGTGAATTGCAGACAGGACATGGTAAAAGGATGTAGTTATGGCAGTGTAAGGTTCAGGATATAGGACAGGTGAAAACTGAATAGGCCCCAAATATGTTATTTTACATGCGGGTTCTTCAAAATGTAGGTTCATCCCTGGAGTGAGTAAATGAACCGGGTTGCTAATAAAGTCTTGTAGATCTGCAGTAGGTAACACTCATTCTATTGCTAAGATAAGGTAAATTCATCTTCCCAGATTTTAACCTCAAGTGAATGTTCTGTCCAAATGTTAAGCTCCTCTAAAATAACAGTGGCAGGCTTGACAGCTCTCTCCCCAAACTCAAGTGCACTGAAGGGCTGGATACTGCTATAATCAAGAAATCACTTGTTGCAATAAACTGCTTTCAATCTCAATATCAGTCTGAAGCAGAATTAACCTGTCGATCATTCAGCAGCAATTTTTTAGGAAATAGAAGTTTATCTAAGCAGTAATTTGGGAGTCTCTGAATTGAAATCCCTTTGGCCATTCCAACCTATTTGTTATATTTTCATCAGCCCTGTCAGTATGGAAAAAGTGATGTGCTGTAAGCTTTAGTGGATGGGAAAAACAGTGTCTTGGGCTTTTCTCCAGCTCTTTCTACAGTACTGACTGGCCATGCTTAAAATACATTTGGTATTTAAATCAGACCTTTCATTTATTGGCATGACATTTGCCAGTCTGTGGCTTGAATGGATGTATTCATCAGGGCCTAGAAGTTTGTGCTAATCCAAAGCTATTTTACTGCAATCAAGCATTAACAATGATATTTGCTGATGACATATGAACCTATCAAAAATGTTTCTTAGATGATTGGTTCCAGCCAACTCATCCAGAAGCTGTGTAACTACATTATCCAAAAAATGTAATAACAATAATTCTCAAAAAATAAAGCTGGGTATCTTACTCACATTGACATTTGTGAGTTTAATGATGGCTGGAGTGTCCATAGTTAAATGTAACATTACACGTCATGCATTCTGACAGATTTTCTTTTCTTTTTTTTAATTTCTTTTTTATGTTCTCACCACACCATTGTAATGTCTACAGCTCGCCCTGTTGGTAAGTAACCATCCTTCTATCCATTTTAACATGACTTCATGCAATGCTTCATCTTTCATTTACAGCAGCATTTGACAGACTTAAACACAATTATTAATGACCAGTGATTAACAGTGCTCACTTGCTGATGTTAGACAAGTGATTTTGACTGGGCAAGTAGTGCTACTTTTGAATTATTACTAGTTCTAGAATATCGTCGATAAAGAACATTTGCCAGATTACTAGCAATTTATGTAATGGAGGGATGGAGTGTTAATAAGCCAAAGTTACTAATATGATCATTCTTAACAGTTTGTGGAGGTGTGTTTAAGGGCTTGATACCAAGAACAATGAAGCCAATGAAAAGACTCCTTTGATTTTAAATGGCTTTGGATCAGGTCGTATATTATGGGGGGAGGGTGTTTCTGATGCAAGAAAAGAAGCACATGCTTTCACATCCTGTGTCTCTTGTACCTTCGTAAAATCTTTGAAACAATAGAGTCAAGTATACCCTATGCTAGAACTGAAGACGGGATGGAATGACTCCCCTTCCTGTTGGAACAAAAGGAAAAACTATGTAGCACTTTAAAGACTAACAAGATAGTTTAATAGGTGATGAGCTTATGTGGGCCAGACCCACATCCAGCCCATGAAAGCTCATCACCTATTAAACCATCTTGTTAGTCTTTAAAGTGCTACATAGTTTTTCTTTTTGTTTTAGCAAGATCAGACTGACATGGCTACGTCTCTATTACTATTCTTCCTGTTGGAGGATTTCATCCTCCTCTTTGTATAAAGCCTGCCACAATTGATTTTTATTCCTGAAACATCATTATTTTTGTAGAGTGTAAGTTTTGCCTCTGGAGTGCACAAGAAATATGAAAATGAAATGCAAACAAAAATATTGTGTGCTAATACAATGTCCATATGAAGACTGATTCTGGATCACCATCTGCATTTTGAATCCCCCTTCAAAGAATTCAAACCCTGGTGGTTTCTTTCCAACAACCAGGTTCAATTTCTGGTTCAATTTAAAAGATTGTGTGAAATGAAAAGGAAGCTTGTCAGCCACTGAAACTTATTCTTATACCGAAAAATATTTCAAGGACATACATGGTTTATTTTTGTTATTTTCGTTAATGGATGTGTGCCCTATGTAGAGGGGAATTTGTTATACAATTTTTTTATGTACGGGCAACAGGGGCAATGATAGAGTTATAACTCGAGCTAATGCTGAGTTACAAACCCTTAGCATCAGAAATTAGTATTTATGTTAACAAACACTCCTGAAACTTTACTCAGGTAACATTCCTATGAGACGTCAGTAGGGTTTGACATTCAGTTAGTGTACACAATTTGGAATTCCTTAAGCAGACTCTGAGTCTGACTGACCACTGCATCACTTCTGCTTTACACGAATAATCTCCAGTCAAATAAATGGAATTACCCCACTGTAAAAATGGAAGAAACTGGGCTCTTTGTCTGGGAGATGAACGTGACTCAGACTTGGTCTCTGTTATGAAAGTTGGGCTTACCCAGCTATTCCACTCAGCGGATTGAAAAATCCACAACTCTGAATGACATTTAACCTGATCTAACCCCCTTTGTGTACTTAGGGCTAGTATGATGAAGGTTAGATAAGCACTACAGGTTGGACTTCCTTGCCCCTCAGCACATGACCTGTCCTGGACAAGAGTGTTTTCCAAACCAGGGAAAGTTGGCAGGGGAGGAGGAGAGGGCAGGGGGGAGGAAGGAGCCTCTCCGCTGGGCTCCTTTCTTTAGCTACGTGCCACTGCTGCCCCAGGCCCCTAGTTGCAGCAGCCCTACAGGCTTTGTGGCCTTGCCAGACTGGCTGGCACTAGTGGCCCTGCCATCTGTGAGGTCTGCAGCCCCCACCCTCAGCCCTGTCAACTGCAGGCTCAGCAGCCCTCTGCCCCGTAGGCTCTGATGCCCCCACCAGCTTCCCAACCTTGCAGACTATTGGCTTTGCCTGCCAGCTCTGCTCCCAGCCACTAGCAAGCTCTGTGCTGGGGCTCTCTAGACTAGCAACATCTGAGGTCCTGCCAGACCAGAGAGTCCCAGACCACAGAGGTTCAACCTGTACTACAACACCCACATTTTAATTCAGTGAAAAATCCAGTATAAGAAAACATTTTGTTTGGGAAACCTTAGGGTTTTTTTCTCTTAAAAGATAAGGAAGAAAAAAAATAATAAATTAAGACTCTTTGGGTTCTACAAACTCTACATTAAGTATATCTACAGGGACCATAACAGACTTTTGCTGTCTTGATGCTGCTTATTTCAAAACATTGATCCTCTGCTTCAAATTCTTTAGCTCCTGGGATCATAATTCCAGCTTTTTAGATTTTACTGAATCTCCTGATCTTATGTTGTTCTATTTCCAAGCAGATGACACCTTCATAATGGCACACTCTGGTCAGCTTTATGTTTATTATACTAAAATTGTTTTATTTTGTTACAAGTAGTCATTTGGACAAAGATAGTGTCTTCCTTATTTGACCTATTAAGTTGACCTTAAATGAAAGTGGTGTTTTAAAAATAATTACTGTTTAGTCCAGTATTTATCAAATTATTTAATTACTGAGAAAATTGTAAAAATGTCAGCCATAAACACATGAAATGTGTAGCGCTACCAAGCAAATTTACTATACTAGTGGTTGTATATTGCTTGATTTTTAATCATTCATATATAATTTAATAACTTTACAAGAAATCTCAACAATAACAAGAACAACAAAACCACTCTCCCCACAATGCAGTTGCTGTTCCTGAGTAATTAACTGAGATGGGCCAGATTCACAAGGTTCCATTTCACCAAATTTAATAAATTCACATCAGGGATTTGGGTCAAGTCAGTTTCTACTAACTGTCAACAAGATGAGAGATTATGACAAAAGAAAATGGTACTGTTGATTACTTAATATTAAAATACCTAAAGCTCTCCTGGAAACATATGCCTATTTTTAGTAGGGGTATATTTTCATATGCTTATACAGAAACACAAAAGCTTCAGACAGTGTGAAGTTTGACACATATTGTTCTTTCATTCCATTCATATAGCAGAAGAAATTCTGGTACTCTTTATTTCTACTTATTCTCCAGGAGCAAAGCATGTTTTAATGAAATGTACACTGAAGAGCAGGGAAGAAGAATTTTAATGCTTCTAGAGAATGTAATTCATATTGCGAAATGAGTACTTTTAATTTTCAAATAATTTTTTCATGGTCATTTCAAATATTTGTTTATTGAATTTATCTTTAACAGTTTTGTTTAAATGTTAGCTGGACTGGAAATTTTTAGAGCTGTTTGTCACCATCTTTTGTTCAAAGAGCTAGTAGCATATACCATACATATAATATACAAAAATGAAGCTTGGTTCAGCCTGAAGTAGATGGCAGCTGGTGAATTTTTTACAGTTCTTTACCAAATTACTCATCATGTTGTGATTTGCTGCCTCAAATAAATGTGTTGCCGATCTCCCAAATAGATGTTCTCTTTATTTATAAGCTTTTGAAAGAATTTCTATAGGAGTTACGACAGATGGGTTTAGGAAGCAGGATATTTATCCCCATTTAGGCCATTTTTTTCTGTTATTTCACTCATCAGATGGGTTTTCCAGATGAACAAGTTACTGTTTTCACACATTCTCAATTTTGCTGTCTATCTTATGGCAATCACACATTGGAATAACTATGAAAAGCCACCATCAAAGTTGGGAGGAACCAAAAAGCTTCCTTGATCCCACAAAAAAATCCCAGTCTTCAGAAGTAACTGATAAACTTGTTTTGCCTGAGATGTAAAACTTAAAGAAATAAAGTTCAAAAAGAAAATCTGATGCTGTAATGTGCTTGGAAATAGAATATGTTTCTGATGTTTCTCGTTACCTGCCTTTTTCCTGATCACCCAATAAGTCATTTCAGATCAAAAACAGTACTCAATTTTCAAATTAATTGCCTAAATCCACTTGAAAGTACATATGCATTGTAATAAGTCAAGCCAACTTGATTTATGATATGACACAACTTCCCAGAAAACGAGGCAACAAGAAGTTGGATTTCATTTTCAACTTGAATAAAAATCATCTAACTGGAATTAACTAAAAATGAAGTGTAAGAAGAGACCAAAAATCTTAAGAAAGCTTCAGGTTCTTCTTGATGTGGGGAAAACAGATACAGATAGATACATTACCCACTTTCCATTTGCCATGTGTAATACTAATTAGATAAAATCTAGTCAAATTTAAGTGAAATGCAACTTTTTGATGCATTGTGCTCTATTCTGGGAATTTGTCACATCATAAATCAACTTTGCATAACTTAATGGCCTATCTGGAATGTTGCAGCACAACACATTTGAAATGTAAAAAACTTTAATTTCAATTAAATTCTCTTTGAATATGTTTACACTTGCAGCCTAGTTCGAACTAGGGATGCACATGTAGCCAACCGAAATTGCTAATGAAGCGGGATTTAAATATCCCGCTCTTCATTAGCATAATCTCACCCATGTGCTATTCCGATCCCCAGCTGATTCGAACCAGGAAGTCTGCTCCGGGCCGTGTTAGTTCAAATCAAACCCTTCGGTTTGAACTAACGTTACTCCTCTTTTTTTTAGGAGTAACGTTAGTTCGAACCAAGGGGTTTCATTTAAACTAACATGGCCCAGGGTGCACTTCCTGGTTTGAATCAGCTGGCGATCGGAATAGCGCGTGAGTGAGATTATGCTAATGAAGCGCAGGATATTTAAATCCCCACTTCATTAGCAATTTCGGTCGGCTACATTTGCATCCCTAGTTCGAATTAGGGTGCAAGTGTAGACATACCCTTTGTGGTTTGGAATGACTTTGGTTAGATGATAAGCGAAGAAGTTATTTCTGTTTCTGCAGCAAACTTGCTATATTATGCATGCTGTTATATTTTAGTTCCAGTCATGAATTATCACAGTTCCAATAGAACATTCAGGAATTATACTTCATTATCAGGAATGCTAATTGTTGAGAT